TTACAACCGGCCAACGCAAATGTCTTCAGTCGATGCGACGCAAATTAATAAAAAAAAAAATCTTCTCGCTGTGCGTTTAAAGTGGTGAAAAATGTACTAGCGATAAATTAAATCTATCAAACCTTTGTGTGATCTTCGAAGCGACGTGTGGTTCTACCCGCGGCCAAGTCCCAAAGACGGAGAGTCTTGTCCCACGAGCCGGATAAGGCGTAGTTTCCATCGCTTGACAGAACAACATCGGAGATGAAATGGGAGTGACCGTGCAAACGTTTCTGGGGGACACCGTATTGGGTCTCCTCGCGAGTCAGTTTCCATACAATCAAAGTTTTGTCTAAAAGAAATACATGCGGTGGTGAATTGCCTCTCCGGCAATCGTATGCGAATTAGGATGATGAGAAATCTTCCGTCGATTCGGCGATGAACGATGGTGAAAAAAATACGAAAGACGCTTACCTCGAGATGAAGACAAAATCATGTCGGGATATTTTGGATTCGTCGCAATTTGGGTAACCCAGCCATTATGGCCCAGCAGCGTGCCCCGTAATTGTAAAGTCTCGGTCATTCTTTTTAAAAGAAAACTAAATTAAATACACAAAACGTGCTAACCCTTGCAACGTTCGCGATTGACAGAAGTGAAAAGGAATTAAAGGAAAGGAAACGGAACAGAAATGGATGTTATCGAAACCGGTACTATAGATGGCGCTGTTCACAGCGTTGCGCATTATCCATTGTTGCCACTGTTACATCCAGAAAATTGAATGTACAGGATGGTTATTCTTTTATTGATGTCTTCACATTCATTATAGCTGACTCGTCCGCAATTTTGAAGTCAATTGACCGTTGCATTTTATCATTGAAAAAATATTGATTTTTTTTAACGGTTGCATAAAGGTAAGACCGTTATACCTTTGTGTACAGATTTAGACTGTCAGTGAGCTCCAAAATGGCCATTGAACTATAAAAACAACGTAACACGAAAGGAAAAATAGGCGACAAATGCGTACCGTTCAAGCCGTGCGACAGAATGAGGTGGTATAACTATTTCAGTCACTCTCATCGCGCCCAGTTTGTTTATTAGCACGCCTGATAGAAGCAGAAAATACGACTGTATGAATTAAAGTGAAATAGAAAAATTAAGTCAGTGAATTTAATGTTACTAGTGTGAGAGAGATAAAGATACTACCACTCGTCTGGCTTCACTAATAATTTGCTTGTTTCCCTTCCAGTTACGAGTATATAGTTCAATGAAAATGGAAGACAAGTTTGCTACCTAATATTCATTACTAGTTCCTTGTCCTTTTCTCCACACGACGTAGAGTTTCGCAATTTATTTCATGAATACAAAATCGTATGCTTCCTTGTTTCTTTTGCAATGCATACACTCAATCAATTCAATACAATCTTCCACCGAAACGCAAAGTGTTAGGACGGTTTCCACACAAAATTGAACTTATTGTATAAATCACCTTTTTGACATTCTTTTGACAACAGATTTTAAAAGTAATCGATGCTTAATAAAGCTTTAAACATTTGCAAGAGCGTTTAAAGGTTTTTCAGAAACTTTACCAGCCTTTACGAAATTTTAAGAGGTTTTAATATTTAAAAGCCTTTATGAACCGTCTAAACTGAACTCCTTTTACTCTCTTTTGTAATAAAAAAAGATACGTACGGTGTCAACACTTTTTCTCGTGCACGAATAAACAAACGCAAAACGAAAAAAATTGCTGTGACCAGCAAAGATACCACCCACACACCTCCGCATGCGCGATTCTACCCTTTTATGTCTTATGTTTTATGTATGTACCAACTTTGGTTCCAATCGGTTCAGCCGTTTAGTCGGAAACGAGAGTACAAACGGACCGACAGACAGACCGCGACATCATCGAGATTTTGTTTGATTCGGATTTCTGGTACTTCAAAACATGTATTTCCGTCAAAAAAGTGGGAGGAGGGCATTTTTTACCCCAATTCAATACCTCCCTTACTATAACGTGCGGGTGGTAAGAAAAAATACCGAAAAGCGTACCGGAACCGTTTGTTTTTTCAGAACCGAATCGAAACCTTCGCTTAAAAAAAATTACTCAGAACCGGAACCCACTATTTTTTTACGATTTTTACGGTTTTTTGACTTTAGAAGTTAAACTCAGTTTTCTGGCTATGCGTGCTGCTCGAGAAACGGTAGGCGAGAATTTAGCCAACACAGAAAAAAGTGATGTGTTTAGAAATTTGGGCATGAATAAACACTCGCATCCTGAATTTGTAAAGTTATTCAGTAAGCCATTATGGACTAAAAAAAATGTACCGTATTTCCAATAGGTGCGGACCGTTGGAATCGAAAAAAAATCGAAACCGGAACCGCAATTATTTTTAGAACCGAAACCCGAACCGGAACCGTTATACATATTTTTTCGTCAAAACCAGAACCGTTATTTTCAATAGGTCCAGATCCCTGGCCCTAAGTCGGGCTGGTACAACCGGGCTTTTAGAAATTTTTCCCAACCCTTAAATCTTCTTAAAGACCGTTAAATGCACTTAAAGCTAGTATAATGGCCGGTCTTCACGATTAGGGTGCGTTACCTTAAAAGCTCTTAAAGGACTTTCAAGAGCTCCTAACTTTAAGAAGATTACCCTTTCAATCTTGAGGTATAAAAAACTTTCGATAGTCCTTTAAGAGACACTTTGAAGATCTTCTGATCCTTAATTGTGCCTTGAAATGTTATTATTAGCAAACCTCAGCCTCCCAAATAATACCTATAGAATGAGTGAAATCAAAACTACTGTAGCGAATTTTCTAGATCCCGCCATAAAGTCGGATGTGACTCATTCCTTCTATGAAATATGATATGGAGGTTCGAGATTTCTCTAGAAGCTTCTTGTTTGCTATATACGTAAGCAGATTAAACTGTGTTTAGTCTCAGTTTTATGCTCGACTGTCATAAATGTGTCTGTAAGTAAGTGACAAATATTGAATTTGTTAATAAATTTGTCAATAACTAATTTTATATAAATAAATTTACGTCACACTATTCCAGAACGTTCCTTGAATAAGGTTGTAACAATCGCAGTTGCCGCGTGTCACCAGAACGTGACATTTCACATATTCTTTGGAAAATGCAAATCTCTCCAGTAGCAATTGTAATGAAAACCTTTTCACCGGCTCTTCCCGCACCCCGCCATTCGGTTCAGGTACCTATTTTCGTATATTCCCGCTCTTCGCGTAGTACGCAAAGTAGCCGTCAGATGTAAAACGGGTAAGGAGTGACGTCAAAATTGTTCGCAGCCATTTTGATTAATAGTGTTGTTTTGTGTGTAGCGGAGCAATTTTGGACGAAATGTTTTAGTATTAATAACATTAGAACAAATAAATTAGCACAAATACGCTATTAGTATTTATTTCAAATTATATTTTGTGTTTGTTAGCTGAATAAAATGGATGAGAAAGCGGCGTGTAAAGAATTAGATCAGTGGATTGAACAACTAAACGAATGTAAGCAACTAACAGAGAGCCAAGTAAAAACTTTATGTGATAAGGTGAGTCACGCGCAACTTTTAAAACTGATTAATTGCAATTTCGTAATTCGGTTTTTTTGTTCGATAATTTAGGCGAAAGAAATTCTAGCGAAGGAATCAAATGTACAAGAAGTCAAATGTCCGGTGACGGTATGCGGCGACGTCCACGGCCAGTTTCACGATCTCATGGAGCTGTTTCGGATAGGCGGCCGAAGTCCCGACACCAATTATTTATTTATGGGCGACTACGTCGATCGCGGCTACTACTCCGTTGAAACTGTTACGTTACTAGTGGCGCTTAAAGTTAGGTACAAGGAAAGGATTACGATATTACGAGGCAATCACGAGTCCAGACAGATTACGCAAGTTTACGGGTTTTACGACGAGTGCCTGCGGAAGTACGGCAACGCGAACGTGTGGAAGTTTTTTACCGACTTATTCGATTATTTGCCGCTTACCGCCCTCGTCGACGGACAAATTTTCTGTTTGCACGGCGGGCTGAGTCCGAGCATCGACACTTTAGATCACATACGAGCTTTAGACCGTTTGCAAGAGGTAAGTTGACTCCCTCCCAGATATTGTGCCATAAATTCGTACTCAAAGATTCATGAAAATCTAGGAAAATATCACCTTGGCATACATTAGCATTTGTTTCTGTCAAATCGGAGCCAACTAAGTTAATTCAAGATGGTTCAGAGCTTCACTTGAGTGACATACGTGGTCTTTCAGGTACCTCATGAAGGTCCGATGTGCGATCTACTCTGGTCCGATCCCGATGATCGCGGAGGATGGGGTATTTCGCCCCGCGGCGCCGGATACACGTTCGGGCAGGATATATCGGAAACGTTTAATCATTCGAACGGTCTGACGTTAGTGTCGAGAGCGCATCAGCTGGTGATGGAAGGTTATAATTGGTGTCACGATCGCAACGTCGTGACTATATTCAGTGCTCCCAATTACTGTTATCGATGTGGTAATCAAGCTGCTATAATGGAACTAGATGATGCCCTTAAGTATTCATTGTAAGTTAATGTCCGCTGAGGGGTTATCCACCACCTTAAAATATGCACAGCGTACACCAGTTTAGCATTGTTTGATTTGGGGATACAAAATTGTTCTGGGATAAAATATTCACCTTCCCAATATTGGAAGAAAGTTCATGGGATGCGAGGATCATTTGAAAATTGATATACAATATGTAAGAAAAAACTGGGTGGGAGAGGGGATCAATCAAATAAAATGTAGCCTTTCAAAATTTATGTTTCAATCTGTTTGACTAATTTTTTGTGTATTTTGAAAAATCTCCCACAATTTCAGACAGACCGAATTGATGATAAATTATTTTTTGCTCGCGGAATCAGCAATGCAATGTTGTGGTGGACAACTCCTCGACTATTGTCTAGTTCCGTGACTAACAGATTTTGTTTACAGTTTACAATTTGATCCAGCGCCTCGTCGTGGAGAACCGCACGTAACACGCAGAACGCCCGATTATTTTCTGTAAGGTTTATATTGCAATATCATCAATGCTTAGGTATTACTACTACTACTATTGTACTGTTTGTGTTGAGACATCTCTTGTAGTGTGAAAAATAAAACAATTTAATGTGTCTGTTGCTCTAATATTTCGTTTAAAACAAAGCTCTGGTTTTAAATTAAATCTTAGAGGTGTTTTTTACATGGTGCAGTCGAGACTATAAGAGATCTAACGGTTTCCCAGTGCGATCAAATTATATACATAAAAAGGAAGTAGATATAAATGTACACTAGCTCTAATTTGATGTTCAAAATAAGTTTTGTTGTATCTCCTGGACGATTAAGTACGCCGTCACGTTTCCGGGGCGAGGGGGGATGGGTTTATTGTTGATCAAATGTACGCGAGGTGTTGGCACGCATTAGAATAACTATGTTAATTAAATTTGTTCGTCTTATTACATGCGTTCGAATACTTTGTAAAACCACTGTAAATTATTGTGGGGGGGATGAACAACAAAATTTATAGATTAAGTACGTAACTATATTATATAATCTGTGTATCTCTAGTATTAATTGTCGAACATTGGCATTTTTTTGTGTTTTGTGTTGGAAGGTGCCAATGTTCGGAGTCGCCATTGCTATCTTTCTACGCTACGTGTGTAAT